TGTATCCTCTTCTCTTCATTCTCCCTTGCTCCCGAAGGGATGAGACCAGTGGAGTATCTTAGATGGCTGCTCACAGGCTTTTAAGACCCCAGATGCTACTGACCAAGGTAGACTGTAGAACATTGTCTTTATAAACTATGTTATGCCAATTGAGCTAGATGTTCCCTGAGACCATGGTAAAGATTTTTTTTTTAAGTCTAGGAAATAGCAAAGGGGTGAGAATAACTTGATGCATCATTTTAGCTACTTTTATTTGAATTTTATTTCAATGTTTGAATGATCCCCTAACCAGTTGTCTTGGGATTTACATAGAGAAGTGAAGGCTGCATAACCAAGAAACCCAAGCCCGTTGCTGTCGAGTGGATTCTGACTCATGGTGCTCTCGTGTGGCAGAGTAGAACTGAGCTCCATAGGGTTTTCTTGGCTGGAATCTTTATGGAAGCAGATTGCCAGGCCTTTCTTCCGTGATGCTGCTGGGTGGGTTCGAACCACTAAATTTTTGGTTAGTAGTCAAGTGCAAACCGTTCACACCACCCAGGGACCTTGAAGAATGCGCAGGGGACAACTGGTCGCTGTTGACATAACCACGTGCTCAATTAGCCTAATTCATTATGTTAAATGGAACCAATGGCGCAAAATATGAAACAGATTCAGAAAGTAGAGACTTTTTTAAATGATACCTGGTTTGTAGCGTTTCTAAATTTTATTTATTTTGTTGTGTTGAGAATATACATAGCAGAACATACACTAATTCAACTGTTTTCTCCACGTACAGTTCAGCGACCTGATCACGCTCTTTGAGTTGTACAGCCATTCTCACCCTCCTTTTCGGAGCTTTTTCCTCCCCCATTAACAAACTCACTGCCCCCTAAGGTTTCTGTCTAATCTTTTGAGTTGCTGTCGTCAATTTTGATCCCATAGATAGTTCTTAACAGAGGGTAATGTTCAAGGCAGACCTTTTTTACTAGTTAAGCTAAACTCTTGTCTGGTTCTAAGATAACTTCAGGGGATATTTTTGGTTTGAGGTTTAAAGATTATCTCAGGGCAATGGTTTCAGGGGTTCATCCACCCTCCATGGCTCCAGAAACTCTAGAGTCCATGAGAATTTGAAATTCTGTTCTGCATTTTCCCCCTTTTGATCAGGATTCTTCTGTTATTATTTTTTACTGTTGCCTCAGAATTAGGAAAAACAAACCCATTGCATGTTTAATCATTTTGGCACACGTTGCTCTCTTTGTGACATCTGTCACTGACTGACCCCCAGTGCTCAGGGTCCCAGCATCCCTTCTCCCAGGTCCCTTGAGCTGTGGTTACACTCGGGATGGTCAGGGGCCTTGCACTGCCGCCAAGCCTGCCAGAGGGACGTGGGGGAGTTCTTCACTAACAGCCACGGGACCAGAAAATGATAGATCCATCTTTTTTTTTTTTTTTTCCTGAAGTAGGAACAACATCAAATAAACACCACACTTCAGCTGTTTACACCACTCCAAACTCATGCCTAATCTTCAGGAATTTATAAAAAAGCCTCCAAGTTCTCTGTAAACAGTTTACAGTCTCCCTGGTAACACCCAGCAGATGACCGGCCACCCTCAGTCACTGCCCAACGTCTCCCCTCATGACAACGTGGGGATCTGCTCAGCTCAGGGCCACAAAGCGTGCTCCAGTTCCTGACCCCTGATAAGTAGCCCAGAAATATTTTCCCATGTGTGAGCTTAACGAGGTAAAGAGACCCCACACGTGGTCCTGGGCTTCAGCTAATAGTTTGTGGCCTCGTTTACGATGGAAGGTCTAAAGAAACACACAATTCAATGATAATCTGAGACTTAATTCAAAGTAGCAGGTCAAGAAGTGCTGGCAGAGAGGCAGATGAGCATCCTGGGGAGATTGGCCGCACCCATTCGGGGTCCTGGTCGACCTCCCACGGATTGTGTCATCTTCAGCAGACCATATAATGTCTGTGCGTTTCAGTTTTTTCATTGCTTTAACCAGTGGGAATGATAGTACCAACCTCTTCCGAGCGTCGTGAGGCTCACGTGAGTGAGAACAGGAGAAGCACTTGGCAAGTATGTAATGCCAAGCCCCTCAGACGGCTGAGCATGGAGGGAGTGACTGATGGGGCTTTGCAGAGGCCCAGCAGGAGGTGGGCTGTGTCAGAGCAGGGTGGTCCCGGGAGACGTTGGAGGGGAAGCAGCTTTAGGCTTGGAGGGGAAGCAGCTTTAGGCGTTGTAATAGTGAGAGAGGAGGGCATAAGATTATCTTCATGGGCCAGGTTCTCAGCCAATGGCAATTCTGCACCCTCTCCCATCCCCAGGCAGGAGATCTGGTGATATCTGGGGACAGTTTTAGTTGTCACAACTAGAGGGTGTGACTAGTGTCTAAGGAGCCCTGGTGGCACAAAGGTTAAATGGTTGGCTGCTAACTGAAAGGTTGGCGGTTCGAACCCACCCGGCAACTCCATGGGAGAAAGACCTGGCGATCTGCTCCTGCAGATTACAAAAAAAACCCAAACCTGTTGCCATCAAGTGGATTCCAGCTCAGCCTAGGAAACCCGTAAGGGCAGTTCTGCTGTCATATGGGGTCACTATGAGTCGGAATCGACTTAACAGCACCCAACAACACAACATCTAGTGTCTAGTGGGCAGAGGCCAGGGATGCTGCGGAATGTCCTACAGCGCACAGGACAGCCCCCCACCTCCAACAGAGGACTGATGATCTGGGCCACATTGGCAGTCGCGGGAGGTTTGAAGAACTGCTTGTGGGTTGGTTCTCTTGGCTTTTGTGTTGGGGATTTTTAGTTATAGGGAAATGATTTCAGCCTCTCTTTGCTGGATAATATATAATGGCTGAGTGTGGTTAGAGGTCAGGTTATATAGCTTAGTAGCTGAGAGCAGAGCTGTGTTTAGACAAAAGCAAAATGTTTGACAGGTTCTCCTCCCAATCCTTTTGCAAACACTTTGCACAACAGGTGAGACAGGAAAGAGGATACCTGGATACGTGCAGCTTTACCTTAGTGCCTGGTCTCAAAGAGAGCTTCCGCTTCACAAATTTTGAAGTTTTTCCTAAAAACTAATGTCCTAAAAAAAGCAGAAATTATGAGGCGATTGGGTAAAATCGATTTCATCGTGTCTACTAAACTAATAGGACCCCTGGTGGTGCAATGGTTAAGCGCTCGGCTGTTAACCTAAAGGTCAGTGGTTCAAACCCACCAGCCACTCCTCGGGACAAAGATGTGGCAGTCTGCTTCCATAAATATTACAGCCTTGGAAACCCTATGGGGCAGTTCTACTCTGTCCTACAGGTTCGCTGAGTCGGAGTTGACTTGATGGTACGCGACAGTGACAACAGTGAACTAATATTCAAAGTGCTTGCATTTCAGTGTCCGTCCCGAAAACCACCTCAGAAACACTGAAGCACAAGATCAATCCTTCAGCCGGAGAAACTTTTCCACAAGCCATTGATGTCCTGTTGTACACGCCAGGTAAGGGGATCCTCGTTGGCTTACTGCTGCTTTTTTTTTTTTTAAATTGTTGTGCTTTGAAAGTTTACAACTTAAGTTAGTGTCTCATATAAAAATTTATACACACATTGTTATGTGACCCTAGTTGCTCTCCCTATACTGTGACAGCACACTCCTCCTTTCCACCCCGGATTTCCCATGTTCATTCAACCAGCTCCTGACCCTCTCTGCCTTTCCATCTCACCTCTGGACAGGAGCTGCTTTTTTTTTAAACAATCTGATAAGTTTAGACCTGTGTTCAAGGTCGGCCCTGAGGTGAAAGAGGAGATAGCATGATAGAGCGCACGGAGAAATCCTGAGCAGTGAGCACGAAGCTGCTGCGGCCTCTTTGTGAAGCTCCTGTGGTTTGTGCGGGTGCCTCTGATTGATTCTGAGATGGGGTGGGAGCTTCAGCGTGTAACTTCTGCTCCAGAGTAATAGCCTGTTACGTTTGTATGGCAGGTTAGCGTTCACAAGGCTCGTTCGTGCGCGGGAGTTCCCACTGAAGTTATTTAACCTGATCCTGTTGTCGCTGTGATAACATGATTTCCCTCAGATGTTTGTTTCCCTGGAGGCTGTACAGACATCTTCCGCTGACTCATCTGAATGCATTACAGCTCGATGGTTGTGTTTCGTGCAGCTCTGTCTTCTTCCTTCTGTACGTAAATGTTCTAGCCTCCTCGCAGTTGCATTAGGATGATGGAAGGAGAAAGAAATCAGTGCTGGCAAGGGTCTAAGTATAAACAAAGAGCCCCGTCGTGTTGTAGGTTTCCAGCGTCAGAAACGCTTGAACCGGGACTCGTACGATATTGCAGCAGGGAGCATCACGTGGAAGGTTTTATAGCGTTAAAAACAAAAGCACTTAATGCTAGACAGGAAAAGAATTGTAAAATCCAGTGACTTTGTTTCCAGTTCATCTGCTTTTTCAAGTAATTAGCAGTAAATATCATTGAAGAGCCCTTGTGGTGCAGTGGTTAAGCGCTCAGCTGCTAATCAAAAGTTTGGCCATTCGAACCCCCCAGCTGCTCCGTGGGAGAAAGATGTGGCCGTCTGCTTCCATAAAGATTGCAGCCTTGGAAACCCAATGGGGGCAGTTCTACTCTGTCCTGTAGGGTCGCTATAAGCAGGAATTGACTCGACAGCAAGGGGTTTGGTTGGCTTTTTGTTTCACTGATGACATTTCTTATCTCTCGCCCTCTTGAAGTTTTATGACTTCCCATAGTTGTTGATGTTTTATGACTTCCCAGTTCCCTAACAGTTCACAGACACGGAGATTAGCATTTCAGATGGGTCCAGAGAGGCTCTGCAGTAAAACACTTTGCCTGTAAGAGTTTTCGTCTCCTCACTGAATGTCGCGAAGCCCAGTGAAGCCGCCCAGCACCTGTGGAAGAGCAGAGAGCGTGGTCACGTTCTGTCCTGCTCAAGAGCCCATCGTGGCTCTTGGTTTACTTCCCACATTTCCGTTCTTTTTTTTGACTTTTTTATTTTTTATTGTATTTTTTAGAAATTTTATTGTGTATAAATTCAAAAATTTTATACACAAGTTGTTTTGTGACATTGGTTGCAATCCCCACACTGTGCCAGCACTCTCCCCCTTTCCCTCTTCACTCCGGGTTCTCCGTGTCCATTCCTCCGGTCTTCCTGTCCCTTCCTGCCTTCTCGTCTTTGCTTCTGGGCAGGTGTCTCCATTTGGTCTCATATACTTGATTGAACTAAGAAGCACGTTGAGAATATCCACAGAAAACACACACCGGTTGAGCAGTTTCTCCATGTACAATTCAGCGACTCTGGCCACATACACTCTTTGGGTTGTGTGGCCATTCTCGTCCTCCTTTACTGAGTTGTTTCTCCCCCCTTAACATAAACTCACTGCCCCAAGGTTTCTACCTGATCTTTCGAGTTGCTGTTTTCAGTATGATCCCATGCAGATAGATTTTAAGAGCACAGTGCTCATGGAAGACATTCTTTACTAGTTATGCTGAACTATTGTTAGGTTTTAGGAAGACTTCAGGGGATAATTTTGGTTTAAGGTTTACAGATTATCTCAGGGCAATAATTTCGGGGACTCGTGCAGCCTTCATGGCTTCGGAAAGTCCGGAGTGTGTGGGAATTTGAAATTCTGTTCTGCATTTTCCCCCTCTTGATCAGGATCCTTCTATAGAATCTTAGATCAAAATGTTCAGTAATGGTAGCCAGGCACCATCCAGTCTGGTCTCACAGCAAAGGAGGGAGTTGTTCACGGTAGTTTACTAGATTTCTTAACACCATAGACCAGGACTTTTTCCGCATGGCATCTGAATAAACCGAGTATTTTTAGATCCAAGTGATTAGCTTCACCGTTTACCTTAAAACTGACTGGCCTCTGAGCTTCCAGTCAGGATGGACTAGGTAATTCAAACCAACTGGTTGGACAGATAGAAAGTAGTTAGTCAGGTGGTGGATTTAAACCCAAACAGATCCATAATTAGCTTAGTGAGTGGACTAAATGGCCCATTTGGAAGAAAGAGATTTTTAGGCTGCTTAAAAACAAAACAAATCCAAGCCCAGCTGCATGCTGTCACGGCTGCTTCTATGCCCGTCTGGGTGATTGTCTGATGGGAGCCAGCTTGCGAGTAGACCCTGAGCTTCTGCTCGCCGCTGTATGTCTAGCGCCTAGCACGGTGCCTGGTACCCAGTCCACGCGCCTCACCTGCTGACATGCTGAAAGGGGTTCCTTTGAACATTTTGGGGTCGCTTTCCTCTTTAGGACATCTTGACCCAGCAGAAAAAATTACAGACGCTCACCCCAAATTATGGTGTGCTTTAAGCGAAGGCAAGGTGGTCGTGTTCGATGCTTCCTCGTGGACGATTTACCAGCACTGCTTCAAAGTGGGCACGGCTAAATTGGTGAGTACCCAGGATGCCACGAAATCCCTGCCATTTCAAGAGCTTCCAGATCAGGGAGCAACTTTTGAGAAGTGAGCCAGGCAGCCCGCACGTGACAGTGGGAGCCAGGTGCCTGGCACTCCACAGCAGCGCCAGCTTCTGCAAGGGAGAGGCCTTTACTTTTCATCCAGAGTTTTTAACTTAAATGTCTGTTCCATCCTTCACTCTTTTCTCCTTCCTCCCTCCCTTCTTTTTTCCTAACTTAGAGAAAATTTGAACTGGCTACTCTTTATCACTACTGCTTAAAGACTATTCCCTATTTTTAATTAAGCTACATGCTTCACATTTACTGTTACCTTTATGTCTTTTTTCTTGCTCTTTAACTCAGGGACTCCAGGGTTGCTGTACGTCCCACATTTAAATTGTGTTTATACTTTAAAGTACTTTGACATCTACACATCTGTCTGGTGGGCACACAGATATAAAAGAAGCCATTTTCCCTGGGGTCTTACTCGGGAGATCCCTATGCCCTGCTGCCTTTAACCTGATAGAACAAATCATTTTTTCATGTTCAATGGGAAAACAATGGTCAAGGGAAGTTTACAAACCAGAAGATTAGTCATTATTTAGTATCAGTTTTGATGGCTTTATTGTGTCATCTAAAAGTACTGTGACAGTCGGAGGCACAGTATATGCTTTTCAAAACTGCTGTCCAATGGAAAGACTGTGAATTCAGATACTAAGGCCGAAGGGGTGGGGCTCCCTCTTAAATGCCTGGGGGGCCAGCTTTACATGTTAGCCAGACTGTAAGAAATGGCTGAATCTCCTCCCCCTTTACTCAAATGATGAGACTCCAGTGACAAAGTTAACAAGACCCGTGATACAAATCGAAGTATTTACGTAAGTCTCATAACGCTTTCTGTCGACCAGCCTCATACCCCCCAAAAAACACCTAAGAAGGAGAAATGTTCTTATTCTAAATTTAACTATTTTCCCCTTGTTCTTGGTTATAAGCATTTCAATGGCTTTCTAATGATCGAATCACATTTAAAATCCTGGTTGAGATAAAATCTAAAAGCTGTGTTTTGTAGTGGTCTCTGCTGCCCTCCGGTCAGGCCAGGAAACATTTAATTAAAGCACTACATTCCCCCAGTTATGTGAAAATATCTTCCTGTTGGTGTCACAGAAATCTTCTGTTCCATTCAACAAGAAAGAAATTTGGGTAATTATCTCCAGAAAAGCCTGCTTCCTTTGAAATTTGAAGTTCAAAGTCATGTGTCTAAGACGTCTTCCGGCCCCTAAAAAAAGACATTTGATTAAAATCAGACCAACCCTCAGGTAGATGCCAAAAGGGAAAGGCTTTTTTAAAATGAATACTTCTGAAATTAGCAAGTTACCAGCCTTTTCTCAATTATGAGGATATTTTTTGGTAAAACTAATCAATTTTTATAAAAGCTTTCTTCTGACTTAAAGATAAGTAGCAATAATTAGCCACCAATGAAAACGACCGCATCTAGTGTCACCGTGGAGCCTTCAAGAGCCAGAACTCGGCAGGGCTGCCTTGGCTTTTTGGGTCTTGCAAGTTTTCCGCCTTTCACAGGGCACAGTCTTGCCACTTTTCTACCGCTTATTTTAGTGGAAAATGTTTACGTTTTGCTTCTCTGACAGGTTTCCGCCTTACACGGTCCGCCTTTCCCATTCCCCAGTGTGATCCAACGTGACTGTCTGAAATCTGTTTGTATTTGAAGTACTGAGACATTTGTACACCTGTCAGTAAAATGCTGCCTCTATCCTGGAGGAAGATAATCAGACACAGGAAATGGGGTGCTGGGCTGACTTTCTTTGTCCCACACCAACTCAGGGGGTTTGAGGTGAGGAAGACGCAGAGCACACCGCCCTATCGATGTGTTTGGAATGATCGAGCTGTGCAGTCAGACGCGCCTGTATTTGTCTGTGTGGCTTTGATAGCTCTTAAATGTTTTAATCCTTAATCCGTAATTCATAAATTCTAAAAAATGGTCACTGGCTGTTGGCTCTGTTAAACCAGAGGCTCTGAGAACGTCCTCTCGGGCTCCCAGGCACGCCAGCCGCGTTGTCCGCTGTTAACACGTTTCTCACGTTTCCCTGGCCTGCTAGAACTGCATGGTGATGGCCGAGCAGAACCAGGTGTGGATCGGCTCTGAAGACTCCGTCATCTACATCATCAACGTCCACAGCATGTCCTGCCACAAGCAGCTCACTGACCACCGCGCCAGTGTCGTGGACTTGATTGTGCAGGGTGGAGAGAAGGCGCCCAGGTAACCAGCCGGACTCTCAGACGTCCGTGCCTCAAGGGCCAGGCCGGGCACAGAGGGTGCTGCAGGGCTGGGACAGCAGAAGTCAGGTGACACTCGTGATGATGAGGGAATGCTGCCCTTCTGTGAGACCAGCTCTGGGGCAGGCATGATGGTAGGTGGCCAGTGGGCTCCACCTTCTGCTGGGGACGTTACAGGGAGCAGCTGGGCCTGTGGCACTAAAGGGCGTGTCCCCTCCGGAGGGAGCGACCGGTTATGACATTCTCTCATTTTTCCACTGAAGTCAGGAATCGATTTGTGAGATCTGATTTTTCATGTTGGCTCGATTTTTTTCATGCTGGTATGCCCCCTCCCATTGTTTTTTAAAAGCCGCCTGCAGGCCAGCAGCCTGCAAACTCTCACAGCACATGTCCCCCAACCAGGCTTCCCTGGTCGCCCCGGAAAAGCTTGGTTTTGGCTGCCTTTCTTGGACATTTCCTGTAGGTTGTGGTTTTGAGCCCCAGGTACCCTTGTTTTAAACCCATTCCATTTGACTTTCCCTCTGAAAGCACCGGGCTGAGCGCTGCAGCCCTGCCCCACCCTGCCCTGCCCTAGTGACAGTGGGTTTTAGAATCCCTCAAAGGGGAGAAGAAGATCAACCCTGACTCATGGCGATCCCATGTGTGTCAGAGCAGAACTGCGCCCCATAGGGTTTTCAGTGGCGGATTTTTTTGGAAGTAGATTGCCAGGCCTTTCTTCCAAGGTACCTCTGAGTGAACTCAAACCACCAACCTTTTGGTTAGCAGCCAAGTATGTTAACTGTTGGCACCGCCCAAAAGGCGGGAACAGCTCCTCTTAAATGGGCTGTGCTTGTCCACCCCCTTCCCCCTCCAGTCCTGTCCTGCCAGGGGTCAAACCACTGTGGAAAAGTGAGACTATCAGGCCCAACTTTCCTTGTTGGGCCCATGAGGAGCCTCCAGCGGGAGCATGAGGTGCTGTCCAAAGCCACATGTACTCAAGCTGGCCTGCCCTGCAAATCTGTCCTTCCATGACCTCACCCCTCAGAGGCGGCAGAGGGGGGACTGGCTCCTCCTTGTGAGATCCATGCCCGTGGGGAGAGCAGGCTTCTCAGGAACCTTCCCGGCCCCTTCCAGACTTCCCTTCAAGCAGGCCGCCGCTGTTCCCCACTCTGCTTCCTGCTCTGTTTGCCCGCTTACACTTCCCACAGACTGTGCACCGACCTCCTCACGGTCTCGTCTATGTTAAGGAGGTCGGCTCCCCCGGCTGGGTGGGCCCCCGAAACTATTGCCCTGAGATCATCTTTAAACCTTAAACAAAAATATATCCTGAAGTCTTCTTAAAACCAAACAATAGTTTAGCTTAACTAGTGAAGAATGTCTGCCTCGAGCACTGTGCTCTTTTAAGATCTGTCTCTACGGGATCATATTGGCGATGTGAAAGATTAGACAGGACCCTTAGGGGCAGTGAGTGTGTGTTAATGGGGGAGGAACAACTCCGAAACGGGGGTGAGAATGGCTGCTCAACTGGAAGACTGGAGTCAGTGTGACTGAACGGTACGTGTAGAAGCTGTTGCGTTGGTGTATGTTCTGTGTATATTCTCAACAACAACAATGAATCAAGAAGAACAATGTCAGCTCCTGAGACTGTCTGCTACCCCCGGGTGCCCGCGCTGAGAACAGGGCCTGGTGCAGTCAGGCTGGAGAGCAAGGAGGGGCCCTGTTTTCCTTGGTGACATGCCCACAGTCACCCACTGCGTAAGGGCAGGCCCTCCTGGGGCCCAGCTGGTCCCTCCTCTGATGCAGGTCCACACTTCTCCCTGCCCCGACATCCTCCCTCCCCCTTCACCCTAAAAAGGGGCGTGGGGACAGGAGTTAGGCAGGCTGAGGAGAAAGGGCCCCGTGGGCAGTTCTGGAACCCACAGCCCCCCGCACCTCTGTGAGCAGAGGCCGGTGGTGATTAGACGCGAGCGTTGGAGAGGACAGCTGTCTCCATTAGCCCGTGTAAGTGGGACGCCCGCTCGTGATGCTAGATTTTAGACATGATCACGTCATGGTCCCGCCCACCAGACAGTGATGGGAGGTGCGGCCCTCCTGGGAAACCAGGGTTTCCCTGCTGCCTGTCTGTGCTCTGAGTCAACCTTTACTGTAACTGGGGTCCCTGGGTGGTGCAAAAGGTTAATGTGCTCGGCTGCTAACCAGAAAGTTGGAGGTTCAAGGCCCCCACCCCGAGGTGCCTCGGAAGAAAGGTCTGGTGATCTACTTCCTGAAAATCACCCACTGAAAACCCTGTGGAGAGAGAAAAAGAAAACAAACCCTTTGGCACACAGCTCGGCTGACACACGTGGGTCCGACGACTGGTTTTGAGTGCGGCGAAGCCCTGCTCTGTCTGCCGCATCGACGGGCGTTTTCCATGGCGCTTACTCCCCGTGCTCTGGGTGCCTTATCTAATGGTGACTTTGTTCTTGCCTGGGTTAAATGTGCGCCATGTTCCCACGGGCCACAATTAACTGTGTGTGTGTGTGTGTCTGTGGTTGCACCCCCAGCGAGGTGTACTCGTGCAGCCGGGACGGGATGGTGCTGGCTTGGAACGTGAGCACGCTGCGGGTCACCAGCAGGTTCCAGCTGCCGGGCTGCACCCTGATGTCCGCCAGACTCCACCAGGGCTGCCTGTGGTGCTGTAAGTCCTCGGCCTACCCTGGCCACAGCAGGGAATGGCTCCCTGCTCGGGGAAAAGGAAACCCAGTGTCCGCATGTCCCAGGCCTGCTGCGACAAAGTGGACGGCTTTAGAGAAGAGGAATCGGTCGCCTCACGGTCTGGAGGCTGGGGGCCCCAACCATGGTGCCGGCAGGGGTGCACTGTCCGTCCGCTCCAGGGCAGATCCTTGTCAGCAGCCCCGGGTGTCTTTGGCTTGTGGATGGGACCTCAGGTGATGTCCTCCCCTTTGTGAGACACTACTCAGAGGGATTAGGACTAGGATGCACCCACTCAGGTATAATGTAACTGGTATATTCAAAGAAAACCCTATTTCCCCAGACAAGGTCATAGGCTTTGGGTCAGGACCTGGACATATCTTTCTGGGGACACAGTTCAATCCATCACACCGAGTTAGAGCTGAAAGCCCGTTTTCATTTGCTTGACACATTTCCAGTTTGTTTTTAAAGTCTGGTTTCTTTTCTGCGTCCCCCAGCGCCCTTTTTGTACCTGAAGTTGCTACTTGTCCAGAACCCCCTGCTCCCCTCAGCTCCTGTGCTCGCTCCACAGCCTACCCCTTGCTGCCCACCCCTCTCCCACCCCTGGAGGTGAACCCAGCTCAGGCGCCCCAAGCCATCACTGCCCCGAGACTTGCCCCTCATGTGGGAGGCTGGGTGAGGTGTTTCTGTCCTCTGCTCTCCTGGCACACCCTGAGGCAGTGCGTCTGTGGACCCGAAATGGGTGTGGTGGAGACGCAGACCCTACCCAGCCGCTGTGCTCTGTGTTTCTGCACTTTGAAGTCAGCCCAGGCATATGCCAGATAAGATGGGTCGTGGTTGTGAGAACATTTTCAAATTGAAGCATATTTTTGTAGACAGTAAAACGCACAAAACAGAAGTGTACAGTTTGTTGTGTTTTGACACAGGAGGATCCTTTTATTCCTATGCCAGTTGTAAGCCCTAAATGGTTGTTGAACTTTATCAAATGCTTTTTATGCACCTCTTGTTGCGGCTGCTAACCAAAAGGTCACCAGCCACTCCATGGGAGAAAAGACCTGGAGATGTGCTGTCATAAAGATCGCAGTCCAGGAAACCCCATGGGGCGGCTCTACTACGTCCCACAGGGTCACTGTGAGTCGGAATCGACTTGATGTCAACGGGTTGCTGTCAGTTACCATTGAGTCCCTGGTGACCCCACGTGTGCAGAGTACAGCTGCTCTGTAGGGTTTTCAAGGCTGTGACGTTTTGGAAGCAGATCTCCAGCTCCTTCTTCCAAAGTGCCTATGGGGGGGTTCAAATTGCCAACTTTTCGGTTAGTAGTCAAGGTCTTTAACCCTTTGTGTCACCTGTAGACTGCTTGCCCCTACCAGGATGGTTATTTTGATCTTTCCCTTTTATTCTCTTAACGTAGTGGATTATGTTTGAGTGGAAAACCAACTTTGCATTCTTGAGATAAGCCCCACTTGGTGTGCATATTATTGGATTTGATTTGCTAACACTGTGTGAAGGATTTTTGCATGTGTGTGTTCCTGATGGTGGCTGGTCTGTAGCTTTCTTTTGTTACATGCTTGTCAGGTTTTGGTGTCAGAGTTATGCTGGCCTCTTAAGACTATTTAGGCGGGATTTCTGCTTCTCCACTTTTTGGAAGGGTTTGTGTAAGATTGTTTTCTACTGTAACTGTCTAATAAAATTCATTAAGGAAGCCATCAGGTCCTGAACTTTTCTTTGTGGGAAAGTGTTTAAGTATGGTTTCAACTCCTTTAATGGACACAGGACTAGACATATTTTTCTTTTTGTGTTAATTTCAGAATGTTGTGTCTCTCAGGGAATTTCATGTAAGTTGTCAAATTTATTGATATTCTTAATACACCTTTGTTATCCTTTCAGTGTCTGTAGGATCTGTAGAGATGTCCCCTCTTTTGTTTCTGATAATGGTAACGTGTTTTCTTTCTCTGTCTTGCTAAGTGTTTGTTTGTCAATTTTATTAAATCTTTTCAAAGAAATATTTGGTTTGATTGCTTTTTACCTGTGTCTGTTTCTGTTTCATTGATTTCTGTTTTTACCTTTATTTTCTTTGGATTTTACTTGTTCATCTTTTTCCAGCTTCTTCAGTTGCAAGTGTAGATTATTTTAAAACCTTTCTTCTTTTCTCAGTAGAGGCATTTAAAGTTATAGCTGCAGCCCACAATTTTTAATATGTTGTGTTTTCATTTAGTTTGGAGTAATTTCTAATTTTGCCTGTGAGTTCCTCTCTGACTCATGGTTATTTAGTTACTCAGTTACTCAGTTCACAATCACTGGAGAGTTCGCCGGCTGTCTGTCTGTTATTGACTTCTAATTCTGTTGTGTTCAGAGAAAACATTATCATTTTGGTCTTTTTAAATTTGTTGATACGAAACGTCTATTAGAGCAAGATGGTTAATAGTGTTATTCAGTTCTGCTACATACTTGCTGATTTTTATCGTATCAATTACTGATGGTCGAGTGTTCAAACCTCCAGCTTTAAGTGTGGATTTTTCTCTTTTAGCCCTGTCAGTCTTTGCTTCAGTATTTTGAAGTCTGTTATGTCCTCCGGGTAAAGTGACCCTTTTTGACTGTTATGAAATGTCTCTATGGTATGACTTTATCTACTTGCTGTAGTATCAATATAATCACACTGGCATTCTTGGGGTTTGTGTTGGCATGGTGTACCCTTTCCACTCTTTTATTTTCAACCTATCTGTCTTTATAATTACTGTGTGTCTCTTAATGACAGCGAAATGAACTAAGCGATCAGCGATCGGCCCCTGACTGGGAAAACAGCTGTAATGGATGCTGCTGGTGCCATTCGGTTGGTGCATTTGTAGATTTCAGACTACAGATCACATCATAGTGTTTTATCAACGCTAAATGTTCTGGTTTTGATAACAGTATTCTGGTTATGTAAGAAAATGCCCTTGCTTGTAGGAGATGCGCTCTAAGAGTGTAGTGGAAAACGGGCATGGTACCTGCAGTTTACTCTAAATGGTTCAGGAAAAAATCAGAGAGACGGACAGAGAATGAACAAAATGATAAACAAATGGGTCAAAATGTTCTTGCAACCTTTCTGTAAGTTAGAAATCATATCAAAAATTTAAAATTACTTAATTAGCGTTTCTTTTGTAAGCAGCATATAGTTGGAACTTGGCTTTTCAAAAAAAAAAAAAAAAATTCAGTCTTACAATCTCTGCCATTTAATTGGTGCGTTCAGCTTTAATTCACATACCAGAGAGTTCACTCATGTAAAGTATACAGTTCAGTGGCTTTGAGTCCATCTGCCAGCACACCACAATCAATTTTAGAACATTTTAATTACCCCAGAAAGAACTCCTCCCCCTCCCTAACCCACACTAATCTATACTGCGTCTCTGTGTGTTTGCCTCATCTAGACTATATGGACTTTGCGCATTCCACATACGTGGAATGGCACAATACGTGGTTCTGTGTGTCTGGCTTTCTTCATTTAATGTTTTCAAAACAGTAGCATAAATCAGTATTTCATTCCTTTGTATTGCCTAACAATATTCCACTGTATGGATATATCGTCTTTTGTTTACCTGTTCATCTGCTGGTGGACATTTAGGTCGTTTCTACATTTTGGTTATTGAGAACAATGCTGCTATAAAATAGGCCCTTCTCTCTAGAGTCCAGACGGGTGCTCCCTCAGGACAGGGCTTGTATCTCTGATCACTGATGCTAACACCGTGGCCTTAGCAGACTGGCTGGTGGAGGGACACACACAATGAAAGTATGAGAAAGGGGCGCCTTGCAGCACGTCAGCCATTCCTCAAAGATTACTGTCAGCCTCAGAGATCCTAATTTTGATGACCTGTGGCTCTTACAAGGTCCCTGAGTGGTACAAACAGTGAACACACGTGGCTGCTAACCCAGAGGTGCCTCGGAAGAAAGGCCTGCCAATCTACTTCTGAAAACTCTGCCATTGAGATTTCTACGGAGCACAGTTCTACTCTGACACATGTGGGTTGTCATGAGTCAGAGCCAAGGCAACAGTGGGTTGTCATGAGTCAGAGCCAAGGCAACAGGTTATAGATGGGGAAGCACTCTTAGTAGGTAGAAAGACACTTCCCTTTAGTGAGTGATAGAAACAGACCCGGAGAAGCACTTACACCAAACACAGAGACGCCGTCCACAGGCAGGCAGACTCAGCATTCATTCTAACCGCCACTGGCTGGGTTAGGATTCGCTGTGGCTTCTAGTGACAGCAAACCCAAAACAACTGCAGGAAACACGTGGAAAGCTGGTATGTCTTCTTGCCACTTTGAGCAAAGTCTCAGATAAAGGAGGTGGGTTCCAGCGGTTTTCTCATCAGTGGAAGTGGGGCTAGCAGAGAGGTGGCTGGGAGGAGGGACACAGGTGAGAAGATGCCAAAGCCTGGGCCTGGGCTCGAGTCGTGGCCACAACCAGCGTTGCCCCCACCCCCCACAGCAGTGAGGCGCCCTGGCTGAGTGGCTGGCTGCCACACCTCGCCATTTACCAGCTGTTCACCTTTAGCGTCTCTACTCCACTCTGCCTGCTCCTCATTCCGGCCCTCTCTGCAGGTACAGGTAACAGCATCGTGGTGGTGACAACGAATGGGTGTCTTCGTCAAGAACTGAAAATTGAAGAGAGCTTTTGCGAGATGAGCACCTCCTTCCTGGGCTTCCAGCTGATTCCCGAGGTATAGCAGAGCAGGGCTTCGTGGCAGAGCAGGGCAGGCAGGCTGGGTGGAGCAGCGGGTGCACGGTGATATGCTCCTTTTCAGCAGGAGCAGCTCTGGGCTGCCTGTGCGGCGTACAGCAAGGTCTACATCTGGAGCCTGCAGGACCTCGCCCAGGCCCCCCAGAGGATCCCCCTGCAGGACTGCACTGAGGTCAGCTGCATGATCAGGGTCAAGAGGCAGGTAAGGTGCAAGGTGACGTCTCTGCTCTCAGGCCGTCCCGCCTTTGGGCCTCAGTTCCCTTCTCTCCTGAGTGGGCGTGGGCAGAGCACAGCCCTGGGTGGCCTGGCCTCAGCGTGTGACTGAGTCTGACAAGGCCCCCTCCCAGGGCTGGCTGCCCCGGTCACATGGCTGATGCCCCCCGTTTCTCCCTGGCAGATCTGGGTGGGCGGCAGGGGGCTGTCACAGGGACAACCCAAAGGGAAAGTCTACGTCATCGACACCGAGACAAAGACTGTGGATAAGGAGCTGGTGGCCCACGCAGACGCAGTGACGACTCTGTGCTCAGCCGAAGACCGATACGTGCTGAGCGGCTCCGGCAGGGAGGAAGGCAAGGTTGCCATCTGGAAAGTCGAGTGACCGAGGGTAAATCCACCAGAAGTGGGTTCTGGGCACAAGAACTGCGTGCTGGAGATGGGCCAGGATCAGAGCTGAGAGCAGGCTCAGCCGTGGTTCACAAGTTGGGGGGTTGATACCCGGTGAGGGGGCGCTCACCATGGCCACTTGGCTGGCGTGGGCCCAGTCTGCTCAGTTACAAAACCGACAACCATACACTTTCCCTCGGGCTCTTCAGCTCCTAGACGCAGCTATACTGAAGGCATTTCATGTTGGGGTGCTTCGCGGGCGGCAACTAGGTCTCATTTGGGATTAACCCCTGCTAAGAAACAGCAGTTACCCTGCGCGCTGTCTATACAGAGTTCCGGAATCCACGGCCAGGGATGCAAACCGGCGCCAGTCAGATGGTGCTGAACCCGCCGGTGACCTGCGTTCCTCACAGCCCTGGTTTGGCCTCTTCCTCTCCTTCCTTCCGCAAACACAGACTGACCACGGGGTTTCTGGTGGGCCCTGGGTACCCTGTGGGGAGCCCCACAGCCTGCCAGGGGTTTCTTGTCTCCAGTGAGCCTTCCGAGAAGCAGAAGGGGCATCTTAAGAGAAGCACTTTGGGGTAGAACAGGCTTGTGCCTGCCCAGGCTATCCCCTCTTGGAGCAAGTGGCCATGGCTGCCCCGAGGGAGGGGACAGTCCTATGGTCAGGCTGCCCGGACGGGGGCTGGGCCGGTGGGCAAGCTGTCTCTCTTCTAATTCATGCAGCGTGTTTATAATGAAAGCTGGAGAGACTGTTTTCTCCCAAAGCTAACAAAGTCATCTTCCAAAGGCAAAAACCCCACTGAACATGGCCTGTGTTCCCTAGCTGCCAGTACAGCTGCCACCACATATGCTGACTGACCAGATGTTCACATACATTTCAACGCCACTGCGTCCTGTAGACACTGTGGTACTGGGTTATTTAAACCGAGAAAGATCCTCTTAGCAAACACCCTCTGCACACTTTTGTTATGATATTGAGACTTGTTCCTGAACTGTCCTCTGAGGACAACCCTGGTGCAGCACCATGGCCGGTGAGCATGCTGTGAGGGCATGTGGCTGGCCTGCCTGCGGACACACTCGGCCGCCGCGGAGCTGCTGCCGGATGCTCCACCCTCGCCCCGAGGGCTGACGACGCCGTCAGGCCCTGGAAGAGGCCGGGCTTCAGAAGACGGGTTTGCAGTGTCTGCAGAAGGAAAACTTTGGTCCACAGGACCCGAGCATTTCGGAAGATGCAGATCACTGACCGGTATTTTCCCTCCAGCCTTGGTGTTGGGTTGCTGCTAGCTTCTTGGGATGGTCTGGGAATGTGGGGCAGAGAAGGGTTAGTGGCCTGACCCTGCCCCGGAGTCTGCACTTTGGGGTGGGGGTGTGTGTGTGTGTGTGTCCCCCAGCCCATGGAGGGAAGGCTGGCCAGCACCAGAGGTTGGGATTTGCTTTTGTAAAATTGGAACGTTACAGTGAGGGCCTGTCAGAAATATATTTGCAAACTAAACTATTTAATATCAGTGCAGATGTAATGAGGTGTTTGTGTTGATAATAAATCCTTTCATATGTGCTGACATCCACGTCTGTCCTTCGTCCAACAGAAACTGGTGGAAGGGGTCTGTGAGTAATCCAGGGCCACTTTGAATGTGCCCTTAGTTCACTCTGACCTCATGCAGGGCGTCTTCATGAAGCGCTTTCCTTTACTCCCGGTGGGTTTTCCAAGATCTTATTAGACAGCGATTACATTTGAAACAACCAGTGCAGAGGAGGACTTGTTTGCGTGGCAGGGAGATGCTGGCACTTCCTGCGGTGATGCCGTGAGGTTCCCAGGAGGCGAGGCAGTGGCTCACAGACACGTGAGAGCTGGTCCTGTGCCTGCATGTCTGCAGCGGTGCCCAGTGGGGCCCTGGGCGAGGTAGGTGGGCCGGGGCCTGACCCAGGCCCAGCTGGTGACCGGGCCGTCTGTAAAAATGAGGGTGTTCTTTCACGCAGGGATTGAGAGAGGTCAGAGAACGTTCCGTTCCAGGCTGCTTGCTGGATTCTTGTGCAGTGTTTAGAGAGACTGGAAATACAAATGAGACAGCTACTGTAGGGGGTTAAATTGTTAGTTGCCATGGAGACAGCTCGACTCACGGAGACCCCACGGACAACAGGACGAAACGTTCCCTGGCCCCGTGCCACCTCTGCGTCCGCTGATGCAGCTATCATGTAGTGCCCGCCTGCCCAGGGGCTCACCTTCCAGCACTCTGTCGGACAGTGTTGTCTTGTGATCCATAGGGTTTTCCCTGGCTCGTTTTTGGGAGCAGATCACAGGCCTTTCTTCCCAATCTGCCTTAGTCTGGAAGCTCTGCTGAAACCTGTCCAACATGGGTGACCCTGCTGGTACTTGAAATACCAGTGACATAGCTTCACTTCATCATAGCAACGTTCAAGCCCCCACAGTACTAGAAACTGAGAGACGGGTGGTGGAATGGGCTAAATTGTGGCCCCAAAAAAGACAAGTCCAAGTCCTAGCCTCTAGAACCTGTAAATGTGACCTTATCGAGAAAATAGTCTTTGCAGATGTAATCGAGGATCTTGACATGAGATCATCCCGGATTTAGGGTGGGCCCTAAATCCAATGATAAGTGTCTGTATAGAGGAGAAGACACGGAGACAGACACGGGGGAGACGGGCCCGTAAAGACCCGCAGGGACGGGAGCGCTGCTGCCGTAACCAAGGGACGCCTGGGGCCACCAGAAGCTCCGAGGAGCCCAAGGGTTCCCTGAGCCTTCAGAGGGCAGGGCCCGTCAACACCTTGATTTTGGACTTCTGGCCTCCAGAGCTGTGAGACAATAAATTTCTGTTGTTTGAAGCCCCGGTTTGGGGTGATTTGTCACGGCAGCCCCAGGAGAATGACACCGTGCCCGTTTACGGGGCACTGGCTCAGCGTCAGCTGCCACACCAGCCCTCTAAATGCGCTCTCGTGTTGCGTCCCCAGAAAACCCCGTGAGACTGAGCTGTTGTCCCCCACTTACATGTGAGGATGTTGGCTCAACTCCTCAGAGCAAAGGTGAAGAGACTGGGGTTTAGTGCTCCCATTCCCAAGGAGTGAGGGGCAGTCTTCTCTGCGAGGACCTCACAGCTGCTGTTGCTCTGACAGGCAGCCTTCTCAGCCACCAGTGTCCTGTCTTAGAACAAGGGGGTGGGAGGAGGTGGCTGGGGTTAGCAACACCGAGCTGTGTCAGCCGCCCCGGCCCGGTTCAGGGAGGACCCTCAGGTGAGGTGAGCCCACCTCACTGTGGTGACGGACAAGAGCCAGTCTCACTGGCTCTTCATCTTTCCCTGGCGGTCAGGGGGGCGCATTCTTTGGCCGTAGGCTCTGGGCCAGCCAACACTCCCATGGCTCTGCTGGCCTTAGTGGTGGTCAGCAGGGACTGGGGGGCCGCAGCGGAGTGCATGCATTGATGGGAGGCCCGAATGAGATGAGGTATGGCAGAGTGTAGTTAGTCAAGCCTGGGCACCACTGGACATCTCCACATGGACAGCTACAAAATTAACTGCTAAAACATTTTGTTTTACCAAGAGGAAGGCAGGAAAGGAGGGACAGAGGAGAAAAATACAGATGTGACAAAGAAAATGAACAGCCAGGTGGCAGACTTAAACCTAACCATATGGATAATTATTAAGTGTAAATAGACTAAATACTCCAATTAGAAGGCAGAGATTGTCAAACTGGATTAAAAAATAAGACCCAATTATATATCCTCTACCATAGACACAGTTTAAATATAAAAAAAACACAGATGGGGTAAGAGTAAAAGGATAGAAAGATGTAACATGCAAATAGCGTAAAAAAGCTGCTATGGCTATATTAATATCTGACTTCAAGGTATGTTATAAAAAATAAATAGGGACAACAAAATCAATTCATCAAGAAGGCATACTAATCCTAAATATATATACACTTAATAATACAGATTCAAAAATACATAAAGCAAACATGGCAGAACTATAGGGGAAAATAGGCAAAACCACAATTATAGTTGGAGATTTTAACACACTGTCCGTAAGTGACAGAACCAGTAAACAACATTTTGCAAGGAGATAGAAGATTCAACCACACTATCAACCAACGTAAAGCCTTACTGAAGAAGAACAAAGTGGGAGGCCTCACACTACCTGATTTTAGAACCTATTATACAGCTATGGTAGTTAAACAGCCTGGAACTGGTACAACAACAGACACACAGACCAATGGAACAGAATTGAGAACCCAGATGTAAATCCATCCATCTAGCAGCAGGTGATATTTGACAAAGGGCCAGAGTCCCTTAAGTGGGGAAAAGACAGTCCCTTTAACAAATGGTGCTGGCATAACTGGATGTCCATCTGTAAAAAATGAAACAAGATCCATACCTCACACCATTCACAAAAACTAACTCAAAATGGATCAAAGACCTAAATATAAAATCTAAAACGATAAAGATCATGGAAGAAAAAACAGGGACAATGCTAGGAGCCCTAATACATGGCATAAATAGTATACAAACCATCTCTAACAATGCACAAACACCAGAAGATAAACTAGATAACTAGGAGCCCCTAAAAATCAAACACTTAGCTCATCAAAAGACCTCACCAAAAGAGTAAAAAAGAGAACCTACAGCCTAGAGAAAAAATTTTGGCTACGACATATCTGACAAGGGTCTAATCTCTAAAATCTACAAAATACTTCAACACTTAAGTAACAAAAAGACAAATAATCCAATTAAAAAATGAGCAAAGGATATGAATAGAGAATTCAAAGACAACATTCAGGCAGCTAACAGACACATGAGGAAATGCTCGCGATCATCAGCCATTAGAAAAATTCAAATCAAAACTACGATGAGGTACGATCTCACCCCGACACTACTGTCACTAATCAGAAAAACACAGAAATGTTGGAGAGGTTGCAGGGAGATTGGAACTCTTATGCACTGCTGGTGGGAGTGTAAAATGGTACAACCACTTTGGAAAATGATATGGTGCTTCCTTAAAAAGCTAGAAATAGAAATACCATATGATCCAGCAATCCCACTCCTAGGAATATAACCTAGAGAAATAAGAGCCATCACACAAATAGACATATGCCCACCCATGTTCACTGCAGCACTATTCACAATAGCAAAATCACGGAAACTTAAATGCCCATCAACAGATGAATGGATAAACAAATTATGGTACATACACACAATGGAATACTATGCAATGATAAAGAACAATAATGAATCCACGAAACATCTCGCAACATGGATGAACCTGGAGGGCATTATGCTGAGTGAAATAAGTCACTTCCAAAAGGACGAATACTGTATGAGACCACAATTATAAGAACTCAAGAAAAGGTTTACACAGAGAAAAAAAAAAATTCTTTGATAGTTATGAGGGTGGGGGGAGGAAATCACTAACTAGATAGTAGAAAAGTGTCAACTTCAGTGAAGGGAAAGATAGCATACAATATAGGGGAAGTCAGCCCAACTTGACCAAAGCAAAGGCATAGAAGTTTATTCTCGACACATCCAAACACCTGAGGGACTCGGTTACTAAGGCTGGGGTCTCGGGACCATAGTCTCGGGGGACATCTAGGTCAATTGGCATAACACAGTTCATAAAGAAAATGTTCTACATTCCACTTTGGTGAGTAATGTCTGGGGTCTTAAAAGCTTGCAAGCAGCCATCGAAGATACATCTATTGGGTCCCATTCTGTCTGGAGCAAAGGAGAATGAAGAACACCAAAGACACAAGGAAAATATTAGCCCAAAGGACTAAAGGACCACATGAACCACGGGCTCCACCAGCCTGAGACCAGAAGAACTAGATGGTGCCCGGCTACCACCAATGACAGCTCTGACAGGGATCACAACAGGCAGCCCCAGACAGAACACGAGAAAAATGTAGAACAGAATTCAAATTCATGAAAAAAAGACCAGACTTACTGGTCTGACAGACTGGAAGAACCCCCAAGACTGTGGCCACCAGACACTCTGCTAACTCAGAAATGAAACCATTCTCAAAGCCCACTTTTCAGACAAAAGGAGTCCTGGTGGCACAGTGGTTGAGAGCTATGGCTGCTAACCAAAAGGTTGGCACTTTGAATCTACCAGCCGCTCCTTGGAAACCCTATGGTGCAGTTCTACCCTGTCCTACAGGGTCACTATGAGTCGGAATCGACGCAATGGCAATGGGGAAAAAAGACGCACTTGAGAAATGTGCTTCTTAGTTTAATCAAATATACGAGACCAAATGGGCAACTCCTGTCCAAAAGCAAGACGAGAAGCAGGAAGGGACAGGAACTGGATGAATGGACACAGGGAACCCGAGGTGGAAAGGGGGAACATGCTGTCACATTGTGGGGATTGCAACCAATGTCACAAAACAATACGTATATAAATTTCTGAATGAGAAATTAACTTGAGCTGTAAACTTTCACCTGAAGCACAATACAATTAAAAAAGAAAAAAAAATTGTTGTAAATCAAACAATATACTTCTAAATTACAAGGGAAGTTAGAAAAAAAATTTTTTTTTGCATTCCAAAGAATCTTTAAAGTGATTACCAGTACATTAAGTAACGACAAGTAGCAAGTTCCTGAATTCTATTATCTAGTAAATGTCTATCAAGAGAAGCTAAAAACAGCCCAAACAACTAGACTAGCATTCATTGTTCTAACCCTTAAACAGAAAGGGTTATTTTAAGGCTGGCTGCTGTTTACACAAGCTACAAAATAGCTATTGACTACTTTTTTCATTGATAAAGCCCCTGACCTTCAAGAAAGCTTTAGGGAAATAAAATATTTAACCCATTTCTTTCTTCAAAGAATTGTTTTTTTGCACTACATATCTAAGAAAGAAAAGTCCTATTGCTATATATGTTGCTTCAGCTAAAAAGCATGGGAAAACCCAGTGGATACCCATTAAATTTATAAGAAATGTGAGGTAAAAAAGATGAAATCTTTGGATAAGCTCTAAGTCTGTACAAAGTCTGGGTTTGCTACTGTCCAAAAAGTAAACTACTATATAACACACAGAAATAATTTATTGCCTTTTTACAAGAACATAACTCTAGCTTTGCTAAAGCTTCTTATTCCATGTGAGAGACCCTCTAAAATGCCAGTCCATGCAACAGGCATTTCCTTCTTCCTTATCCATTTATGTGGTAGTTTTCATGGATTTCTGGCCGAATGTCACAGACAAAGGCCAAGAGGTTATCCAGGACTTCATCCCGGTCCTGCCGGCAGTAGGTCTGGAGGACAGTCATCTTATCCTGGGTCCCCTTCCCCACTTCGGGGCTGCAACTGCCATGGG